CCCCCAGCCCAGGCCCGCACGGGGGGCTCCGACCAGCGTCAGCCTCCGGGATCGTCTGCTCCTCACCCAGCCCGTCTGGCTGCAGCTGAGCCTCAACTCCGCCACTGCCCTGCACATCCTGCAGCGGGAGCCGCCCGGGGTGAGGGGAGGGGGCTCTGCCCTGCTGGGCTGAATGCTGAGGGCAGTGGGTTCATGGGTCTGATGGGCGGCACGCTGGGGAGTCCAGGGGTCTGATTTGGAGGGGGGGTACATTGGGTGAGTCCATAGGTCTGATTTGGGGGAGCACACTGGGTGAGTCTATGGGTCTGATTTGGAGGGGGGCACACTGGCTGAGCCCATAGGTCTGATTTTTGTGGGCATCCTGGGGAGTCCAGGGGTCTGATTTGGAGGGAGCAGACTGGGTGAGTCTATGGGTCTGATTTGGAGGGGGGGTACATTGGGTGAGTCCATAGGTCTGATTTGGGGGAGCACACTGGGTGAGTCTATGGGTCTGATTTGGAGGGGGCACACTGGCTGAGCCCATAGGTCTGATTTGGGGGGGCATGCTGGAGAGTCCACCATGGGTCTGATTTGGGGGGGGCACACTGGGTGAGTCTATGGGTATGATGCGGGGGGCTCCCACACTGTATGAGCCCATGAGGCTGACGGGAGATCCCACATTAGGTAGATCACTGGGGCTGAACAGGGCCCTGGTGGATATGGAGTCCACAACTCCTGCATAGCCCCTGCTGTGAGGTGCTCCCTTCTCACCCCAGACGTTCCTGGTGCGCCGATCAAACACACGCCAACGCCGGGCCCTCTGCTTGCGCCTCCTAGATGACCTGGCACCGGCCTTTGTCGCCAGCTACAGCCTGCAGGAAGGACCAGCCGGTAGGGATGTGCGCCTTAGGGTTAGCTGTGTGCCTGGTGCCCTATGGAGCCCCCCACTCCCTGCAGCATGGTGCCCCTGGCACAGCACTGGGCCAGTAAGCAAGTACTGACTTCCGGGGAGAGCGCCTCTCAGCACTGCAGGCTCTGAGGGTCCCTGTCTTTGCAGGAGTCTCCCTGGAGGGCTCATCCCGGAGCTTCCCAGACCTGCTGCATCTGGTGGCCTCCTACTGCCAGAGACGGTGAGTGGGATCAAGGGGAACACTCTAAGATCTGAGCTCCAGCCTTCCCCTGCTCACAGGGGACTGAGATCCTGTAGTGCAGTGCTCACCAACCAGTAGATCAGGATCTACCGGTAGATCTTGGTGCCTCTGCCAGGCGATCCTGACTGGTTTGGCGGGGAGGCTGTCACGTACCGGTACTTCAACTGTTCCTCCCCACACTGCCTTGCTGCTCCTGCCCAGAGCCTCAAAGCTGCCCCCTGGGAGCCTCCTGTTTGTTGTGCAGAGTGGGGGAGACAGAGGCAGAGGGCGCTGATGTCAATCTGTCCTGCTCCCCTGTACCCCATCTTGACAGAGTAAGGAGGGTGGGACCTCAGGAAAGAAGTGGGGCAGGAGCAGGGCCTCGGAGAAGGGGCAGGGTGGGGGTATTTGGGTTTGAGGTAGATCCCAGACTCACTTAGATTCAAAAAGTGATCTTGTGCTTAAAAAGGTTGGCAATCCCTGGTGTAGTGTCTGGGGCAGTGGGACTGGGGGAGGGTTATGGAGCAGAGGGAGTTGGGGCAGCTCTGAGGCAGAAGGGGATTGGGGAAGAGTCCTCAGGGAAGGGGGGATGAGTAGAAGGGGATTGGGAGGATGCCGCTGGGAGAGGAGGGAGCCCTGGAGTTGCTACTGGAGTCTGATACACTGTCCCCCTAGGGAGGTTCTCCCTGTGGCCCTGCGCCTGCCCCAGCCCATCCAGCAGGCGGTGTCACACAAGGAACTGGAGTCCATTTCCCACCTGGGGCTTGGTGAGTTGATCCCCCCCCACACACATCCCCATTCCCCCATCCCCTGCCCCACATCTTGCTGCCCCTGCACTCCTCTCCCTGATCCTTCTCCCTTCAGGCCCCCTGGTCCCTCCCTCCCCACCCTCTGTCCATGCCTCATTTCCACTTCATCACCTCCATCCCCACAGCCATTCCACTTTCCCCATCACCCTGCACTCCCCATATAGCTGGGAAATCCCTCCCTCCCTCTAGTTCCCCTTCTCTCCCTCTAGCCTGGGCTAGATTGGAGCCAGCGCCCCCTAGAGGGGAAAGCCCCCCCCTCCCCCTCCCCAGCCAGCCAGGGCCCCCACCTTGGGAGGGAGCAGAGCCAGTGCGCTCTGGAGGGGGAAGGCCCCATGTGCTCTCCTCGGTGCTGACCCCTCCTTTACTGCCCCACAGAGTTCTGGAGCTCTTCTCTCAATGCCAAGGACTCCCCGGAATTGCCTGAGCCCCCATTCAGTGAGGACGCTGCCGCCGGCCAGCTGGGCACGATCCCCACGCGGAGCCCAAGGGAGCTGGACTGTGGCCTGGGCAACGGGGCACTGGGCTTCCTGGCCCCTCTGTTCCAGGGCAAGGACGGTGGCTCGCGGCGGGATGACTTCAAGCGCAGCATTAAAGTGCGAGTGTCCACTGAGACCTCCAGCCCCCTCTCACCGCCCCCCAAGCCACCGCCTCCCATCCCTGCTAACCAGGCAGGGACGCCCCCCACTCCACGCCGGGAACCGGGCCAGTGCTCACCACTCTGCACATCGGGATATCGGGTGCCCCAGCGGGCTGGGGAGCCCAGGCACAGCCTCCCATCCCTGCAGGAACTGGACAGCGGGTCCCCCAGTGGCTCAGAGAGCGAGGGAGGTGGGGGTCCGCGGGCCCCCTCGCCTCCTGCCCAGCCTCCTCCCCGTGCCCCCCTGCGCTCCATGAGTGACGCTGTCTTGGCCGTGATGGCCCCTGAGAAGCAGCTGGCACGGGCCGTGGAGGGGCTGGCGCGGGACCGGAGCACCAGGCTGGGAGCCAGCATCCAGGATTTCCTGACCCTAGTGAGGGGTGGCAAAGGGGAGCGATCCAGCCATGAGCTCCTGAGCCCCGTCCGAGCCTTCCTCACTCGCACCAAGACCCAGATGCTGCAGAGCCCAGCCCTGGAGCTGCCCAGCCCCACGCTACTGCCTGACCACAGACTGGGTGAGTGGGGCTGAGGAGAGGGAGCCAGGACTCCTTGGGGGAGGGAGCCAACTCAGGGAGGGGGTGGGGGGTGAGGCCTAGTGGGTTAGTTCAGCAGTGGCTGGGAGCCAGGATGCTGGGCTCTAAGAAAAGGGTGGGGTCCAGAGGGTTGGGCTGGGGAGTGGCCAGACACCTGGTTCTATTCCCAGCTCTAGGAAATGGGTGGGGTCTAGTGTGCCTAGGTTCTGTTCCCAGTTCAGGAAGGGGAATGGGGTCTAGTGGGTCAGAGCTGGGGGTCAGGGAGGGACCCGGACACCTGGGTCCTAGGAAGGTAGTAGGGCCTATGGGTTGGAGCAGTGGGGCTAGGCGCTAGCCCAAGAAGCCCACTCCTATCCTGCAGATGCTGTGCTGGAGCGAGCCCTACATCGTTGTGTGCTGAAACCCCTAAAGCCAGTGCTGGCATCACGGCTGCGTGGCCTACACGTGGCAGACGGGTCTCTGGGCCAGCTCCGGGAGAACCTGCGGCTGGTGAGGGAGCGGGGCCCTGGCGCCTTCCCAGCACGGGCGACGTTGCCTGGCCCCCCTGACACCCAGCGGGCCCGACACAAACTGCTGCGGCTGCTGCGCGCCTATTCGCCCTGCACCCAGGTGACACTGCTGCTGCAGGCCTGCAAAGGCGTCTACCGAGCCATGGGGGCAGCCCCGGGTATGGATCCCTTCATCCCTTCCCCCTCCCCTCCCTCGCCATGTGATGCTGCCACTGCAGGTCTGCCAAGGTGTCTGCAGAGCCATGGGAGCACCCCCAGACAGCCTTCCTGCCCATCCTCCCCTGAGAGGCCCCCCGGTACTCCCAGCTCCTCTGCTCTTCCTTACCCAGGCCCCAGGCCTAAGAAAGCATCTCTGCAGCCATAGGGCTGTCCCCAGCCCCAGTCCTTGCACCACCCCCAGATCAGAGGCGTAGCCTCAGAAGGGGCTGAGTGGGTCATGGCCCACCTACTTTGCATCCAGGCCCACCCCTCGAGCTGGCCCCACTGCATGCTGGGAAGCAGAAACAGGGCTTACCCCCACATCCCTTCTGTCCCGCTCCCTGCCCCCCATGCTTGCCCACCCACCCACCTAAGTAGGCCCTTCTGACTATGTCACTGCCCTATATCACCCAATTTGGTCCCTCACCCTCAACCTGCTTATTTCCTATAACCTCCTGAGGCCTGCCCTATCCCGTGTCTGCCTGTGCTCCCCATGCTGTCCACCCACTCCACTGCCAGGAGCCTCCCTCCCCAGCCTGTGCTCCAATGCCTTCTGCTTCCCCTACAGCCAGGATCCCTCCCTGATCCCCCCGATGTTCCTGCTGCGTCCCTGCCAGCACCTACCCCCCACTCACATGTCCCACTTCCCTCAGATGGGAGCTATGGGGCAGACGAGTTCCTGCCAGTTCTGAGCTTCATCCTGGCTCAGTGCGACCTTCCCCAGCTGCTCATGGAGGCTGAATACATGATGGAGCTGATGGAGCCCAGCCAGCTCCTGGGGGAAGGTAAGGGAGATCTCTAGATCCTCCACTGCCCCTTTTCCCTGCCCCCCCTGAACCAGCCACTCCCCTCACCCTAGGGCCAGGTCAGAGATGGCGCCCCCTCGAGGGGACAATTTCAGGGTCTGTTTACTTCCCCAAATGGGGGGAAGGCACATAACCAGCTGGGTGTGACCTCCCAGTGTGTCACTGTGGCCAAAAGAGCTAATGTGATCTGGGGTGTGTAGACAGGGGAATCTTGACTGGGAAAAGGGAGGTTCTAGTACCTCTGTATGTGGCACTGCTGGAATCCTGCCCCCAGTCCTGGTGCCCACAATGCAAGAGGGAGGCTGAGAGATTACGGGCCTCAGAGAAGAGCCCTGAAAACAACCAAAGGCTCAGAGAAAGTGCCTGACAGAGAGACACAGAGCTCCATGTGCTTAGCACAGAACAGGCGAAGAGTGATCCCAGTCTCAGTACCGGCATGGGGGGACAAATGGGAGAGCTGGCGGCTCCTCAGTCGGGCAGCCAAAGCTCTAGCAGGACTTGAGGGCTGGAAGCTGGAGCTGGCCAAATTCAGACCAACAATGAGGGGAATTCACCAGGGACTGGCTTCACCATCGCTGGCAGCGGCTAAACTGGGCTGGGATGTTTTTCTGAGCTCCACACGACTTCCTCCGGGACTCAGTTCAGAGCAGCCCTGCGCAGAGAGGAGGGCAGCCTAGGGGATCCCCGGGGCCCTTCTGGCCTGACAAGCTCTGATCCATCCTCCCCCAGGTGGCTATTACCTGACCACTCTCCAGGCCAGCTTGGCCCTGCTGGGGAGTTTCCATGAAGAGAAGTCGAGGCAGCTGCGCCCTGATGTCCAGAGAGTCCTGAGCTGGCGGCACCAGCACCCCACAGGACAGCTCCCTGGAGACCCGTGCTGGGTATGTGGGGAGGCACTTGGGAGTGGAGTCACTGCAGGGGACTCCCTGCTACCTTCCCTTCTTTGCTGACCACCTGGTCCCTGCTTCCACCCGCCCTGCTACCCATCCAGTACTTGTCCCCTCCCTTCCCTGCTACCCACCCGGTCCTTGTCCCTACCCCACTGCCTGCTTCATCCCTCCATCCTTCCTTCCCCCTCTCGTTGCTTGCACAGTTCCCCTGCATCACACCTGGTGCAGCTCAGTCCCTATCCACCATGTCATCCCATCTTTGCTCCTCCATCTCCCTCAGTACCCACTCAGCCACTGCCCCCACCATGTCCACTCAGTTCCTGACTTGCTCTGTCTTCCAGGATCCACGGCCTGAGAAGATCCAGGCCCCCTGCAGTGGGCACCACTCCATCATGCCTGCCCTGGGACACCAGGAGATGGCAGAGCAGCCAGGAGAGCACCCCTCAGACAGCAGTCTCCCTCTGTACTCCGAGGGACAGGAGCGCCCGGCTCAGCACCACCATCCTGGGGAGATGGGGCCTGGGCCAGGACCCCCACGCAGGCTGCTCCGCAAAGGAGCTGTTGACCTGGAAGAACCCCTCGGATCCAGGATACCGGGTTCTGTCCCATCTCAAGGAGAGGATCAGGGTCTAATAGGTTAGAGCAGGGGGGTAGGGAGTGAGGACTGCTGGGTTCTAGTCCCAGCTCTGTTGCGACTGGCTTTAAGACCATTTCCCCTAATTGTGCCTCAGTTTCCCCCTTTGTAAAACAGGGCGAATAAGCCCCACAGCAGCATTTGGGAGCATCTGTCCTAAGTAGCCCCTCCCTGTTCTACTCTCTGGGGTGGATGATGCTGAGAGAGCCTTTATCCCCTCTCCGGGGAGGGGGGAAAGGCAGGAAGTTTCTCTGCTTGTAACAACCACTCCTGACTTAAGAGTTAAATGCCAAAAGAGAGACTTTCCCTAGTGACACAGAGGATCAATGTATATACACCAGGAGGATTTGCTGGCACAAAAACCTCTTCTGCTGATGTTATTTTTGTAGGACCTACTTTGTTATATATTTGGGAGAGGTTCATTTTTATTTCTTGTTCTCCCAAAAGTGACACGGCCCAATTAATTTGAAGTCTCAGTTTATGGTTTGTTCATATATTAGAAGAAAAAGTTCCATAACAAAATGCTCTTTCATAGATATTATTGTAGGGCCTGCTTTATTTGCTATTTGGGAAAAAATCAAAGAGCAGCATTCTTTGTTTTTAACTTAAGTCTGGCTTTTTATTTTTTTCTGAAGCTCTAAATAGATGTTTCGATAAATACAATGCTCCAGAACGCAAGTCTCCTCTGTTGATATTATTGTAGGGTTTACTTTATTGGCTGAACAAAGTGCGGTCTGTTTGCCTGTCTCCAACTGTAACAAGCTAACTTTTGAATGCTGGGTGTGATCAATTCCAGGATTTTCAGGAACACTGTAGGCTGCATGGATAGTTTTAGGTGAAAATTGGAGAAACCAAAAGGGGAAAAATGGGAGGCCACTGGCATCTGATTAGCTTTAAGCCCTTTGCTGCTGGCAATGATTAACACCCTCCAGCACAGCTCTGCTTAGTGGGCAGGTAGAGTTTGGGACGCTGACATCCAGTGTGACTGAGCTTCTGGACAGAGAAGAAATGAGACCGGGGGGATGGAGGGGGAAGCCCCTGGCATGTGCACAGGAAAGAGAGGCCCTAATGTGACGGGAAGGGGGGACAAGCAGAGCTCCTAGTGGGGGACTGGAGGGAAGGGAAGACAGATCCCTTGACATGGGAGGAGAATGGGGCAGGGAACCCCTGAATGAGGGAGTGGCACCCAGACAGCTTTGGGCAGGGTGAAAGAGGGATGCCAGGAGCACTGGCGGGGGTGATAAGCCAACACCAGGTGTGAAGCAGGCACCCTGGTGGGTTTCACTGGTTTTTCCCAAGGCACCGTGCCCAGCTCTGCCTGTTGGGCAAAGGCCACAGCCTCAGGAACGGGCCTGGCTGGAGGGAAATCAGGCCTGTCTGGTGAGGCAGGAGGGGTGACACTGGTGCCCCCTCCTGCTGTTTAGCACCTTCCAGGCAGCAGCTGCTGCCTATGCTGAGTGGGCACTGCCACAGAGTCCAGCAGAACACCAGTGCTTTGGAGGCTCCGGGAGGGTGAGGAGGAAAGTAGGGATGGGGAAGCGGCCAGGGCTGAAGGGATGGGCCCTGCTGACTGCAGGGTGCTGGCGTAGGCTGTGGGGGTGGGGCATCATGGGCTGAGCACTGCCCCCCCCTTTGGAGACAGACAAGTCGTGATTCATCTGCTGACTCCTAGCGGAATGGCCCTGAGTCATCCTAGAGCCCAGCCCCAGACGTGGGTCAGAGGATCTCTTGGCCCCCCAGCATTCCCAGGACAGAGACTCTCCTGCTTCTCTGGGACCCTTCTCATCCACACAGTGCCCCACAGTGGCCTTCTGGGATCCCTGGGGCCCATCCAAGGGACACCTCAGGTGCTGGGCTTTCTGAGGGCTAAGCCAGCTCCCTCCCCCTTCTTGGGATAAGAAAATATTTGGAGTCAAATCCTTTCCCTCTGGGCTGTATCTGAACACTTCCATTGGCAGGCTGTGGAGTCTCTCATGAGCTACTGCAGGCCTCAGCACGCAGAGGGCTGACTGCCACGAGGCTGGCTGAAGGCCTCCACCCTGCCCAGCCATGACAGATGGATTGTAGGGCTGCTGGCGTGGACTTAGCTCACAACTGAGATGTCTGTCTTCTTTCATAGGGATGGGTAGTATCAGTGCATGAGGGGCTGCACCCCCAGATTTTGCACCCCAGGGCCGACCCCATTGCCAACCTGCTACTGGCTCTGCCAAGTTTGGGTACTGCTGGTCCCGCCATCTCCTGAAGGTCCAGGCTACGAATTCTGGAGGCTCCACTGCTGCTCAGAGTCCTGTGCCTGCTTGGGGCTTTGCTTCTGGCCTTGCCTTGGGACTTGACAGCCATCTCCAGCTATGACTAGGGTGACATCTCTCCTGGACCGGATGTACTGGATGCCATTTGCAGCAATGGCACCTGGTCTGGGAGAGTGAGGAACTCTAGCTGTGACCCCAGCTGTGAGGGGTGGGAACAGATGGCGGGCACAGCTCAGTACGCCAACCCTAAAGGTAGTTCCAGCACCACTGTCCTCTTCGCAAATGACAGGAACGTCCTGCCTCTGCCTCCTGGGCCATATGGCCTCTTGCGCTTTGCCACACTGCATCTGCACTGCATGCAAGCTCAGCTGGGGACTGCACGCAGCCCAGGCAGCCAGCCCAGAGTGGATGGGAGCCCTCGCCCCAAAGGTTCCACTCAGCTGCAGTTTGGGTAGGAGGCCCCTTCGTCCCAGCCCTTCCAACAGAAATTATATTGCTGAAGGCACCTTTGGAGGGTTGAGAAGCTCACCTGGACCATTGTGTAGATCAGAGCAAGTTGGCTGCCAAAGAGTTGCTCGGCTGTGACTCAGAGCAGTGCACAGTGTGGGCATGTTCTCCAGACCAGCCATTCCAACCAGACCTCTCTTTGGACATGTTCTTTTCTTCCCTTACCCAGGAAAACTGGCTGTCCTGCCCGGCTAACATCAGCCGGAAGGGGGGAGGCGGAAGG